AGACACACCTCAGATTCATACACATTTGATTGAATTTAAAATTTGATCATTTTGCTTTAAGAAAACTTTTACTCTTTCCCAATATATTATTATCCCTGCATTCAAATAGGTGACTCCACTGCAACCAAAATTCACAGTTAAGAAGCTAGGTTACACATATGTTATTCTTTTGGCAATCCCTCTCTGTCCTGCTTTCTTTGTGACCTATTCCACACTGGTATTCCAGCAGGTCCTTCCATGACAATATGTACATTCTTAAGCCCTTTTTAGTTTTGTAGAGGAAGCCTAACCAAGGCAAATAGAAAGCACGAGCCAAACCAGCAAACTGAGTGTGAAATTTGAAATTTGCCCTGGGATAAAGAGAAGATATTGAGGACAAATAAGCAGAGGAATCATATGACCAAGTGTGTATTTGTATAAGCTTATTCAGGATGCTGCACAGAGTATGTGCCGGAGGAAGGTGAATTACAGGAAGGTGAAGTCGCTAGGAGACACTTGTGATGGATGATGAGCAGGCATAGGGTGGGGATAAACACGTCACAGTGAGCACAACAGTGTGAATGTGCCTGTGCTTTGTTCAGTGGGAAAATCCTAAATACAACAAATAGGAAAGTTGGGCATAGACATGCACTTTGGCTTGTGGGTGGTACGAATCTGAAGTTAGCAACAACTAGAAGAGTGGCCCAGGAGGAGAAGCAAGCTGAGGAGAGAGAGAGACAGACAGACAGACAGACAGAGACAGAGAGAGAGAGAGAGAGAGAGAGAGAGAGAGAGAGAGAGAGAGAGAGAGAGAGAGAGAGAGAGAGAGAGAGAGAGAGAGAATTTGGTTTCTCTATACTGTTTTAAAGAATCTGTTATGCTGAAATCAGGGAGAGTTTGTGAATCTTACTTTAATTTTGCTCTCAAGAGAGAACCTGCGTGTAAGATATGAGTTTTTCCTCCCCCAATTCTGCTCTAACCGAATAACTTGCAGTCACACTTCTTTTTATCATAAACGGTCTACTTCTGATGACAAAAAATTATGCATACCAAACAGTAAACAAAGGATCCATGGAGGCAGCTATAACTCAAAAACTTCTTGCCATTCTATAAAGTCACTACATCTTCATGTAATGGGTAAGAATTTCACGTGGAAATTGTTACCCAAACCAATGGAAAGCAAGGCAACTCCTTCCTCTCCACACTTAAAAGGATTTCACAAATAACCAGTTTAGTTCATAGCAGGAATACTGACCTGCTCAGTCCTACACAAAGTGAATTAAGTCAGAGAGCTAGAGAAAATCATCTGCAAAAGCCAGTTCAAACCTAGTGTACATATTAGCCTTTATGATCCATATCTGTTCTTTTAACCTTCTGTGTATTACATAATATGTGCATGTGATATAGATTACTACACCTAAAATTAATGAGTCAAGAGCAAATTTGACTTAATGAAGTTTATAGATGAAGCAAACATCTAAAATAATCAAATTTTTAGATTTTTTTACAAGACTGACTACATATTTCTCTATGTTTTTATAGCTTTTGTATTCAATATTTAAAGAGTTAGAAAAATGACTTTTCAAGGCACCACCAGACAAGGAGTTGCTTTATTAATGATCTTTGCTAGTTATTCCTCTCTCCTGAAGACAGCTGTCCTCCTGACTACTCATCTTTACCTACGTTAGATCCCAGGAGTAAGCCTCCCTAGCAATGAGATGCCTTACAATATTTAATAAATAATATGTGGTCTTCAAATACATAGAATGTGATGCTTAGCCAACAATGTGAGCTGTGGGTAAAAACTCCTGAAAAGAAGCTGCCTTTCCAAATTGGTGGCTGAATAGACCCTCAGTATGGTGGAGATGTTGCAGGTCTAAGAGGCTAGTTACCTGATCTTTGGCTCCTTCTCCTCTTCTGGAACAGACCCTTCTTGCCCACTTCTGTGTCTGAACTAACATCCTGGCAGTAATAATAAATAGAAACCTCTGAAAATCTATTATCTTAGCAGACTGCTAGCTTCCATTAATCTAAAAGCTAAGACTATCATTAGATAACATCTTGGGCCTATAGAAATGCCTCTCCCATCTTGCTATAATCACCTCACTTGTCTTCTCATCAATGTATGTTAAATGTTCCTTAATTTATGCTTTCTTTTCTCTATAAAATTATAAAAATTCATGGAACTACTTTCAGTTTGAAACATGGAATTTGCAGTAACCTAAATCTATATTTCTAGGAAAGGTCTCTCAACATTGTTCTAGAATAAACTATTTCTTACTGCATTAAAAAAAGTTATATAAGGACAACCGTGTTGTTCGTGTTGAGGCTGGAAATCATCTGTCAGGATTAAACATTTTCTTAATTCAGGAAGCCGAACAAAAGAAAAAATATGTCCATTAAAGATGAATTAAGCATTTACAAATACACCATGATTAGTGGAAGAATGACATTGGAATCCATAAGCAACTCAAATATCTGCAAATTCATTTTTTCAACTCTAAGTGCTGCAGAGCACTTCCCATGAACAGCAGTTCCTCATTTCCCTCTTAAACTAAGGGACACAATAAAGCAAAGCACAATGGTGTATCTTTATGTCTTAAAGGAATCTTTTGTCCCTACTAGCAGATTATTCATGATAACTACTTTAGTCTTTGGACAGTCCCTATTCAATTGAAAACTGCGTATTAATAATATTATATTTAACTGAAAAAAATCTCCCTGTAACCTTAAGGAGCATACTGTGATATTTTCATATATGCTTCATGCTGAATGGTTTTATGTCAACTTCACACAAGCGGAAGTTTCTGAGAGGAAGGAACCTCCATTAAGAAAGGGCCGCTATAAAATCAAGTTGTTGGCAAGCCTTGGGGCATTATATTAATTAAAGTTTGATATGGGAGAGTTCAGCCTTGGTGCATGGTGCCATCACTGGGCTGTGGTCCTGGGTTCTATAAAAAAGCAGGTTGAGCAAGCCTTGTGTGCAAACCATTAAGCAGCACACTCAATGTGCAAAACATTAAGCAGCCTCTGCATCAACTTCTGTGCAATAGTAACCCTTACAAAGATATACACATAATGTAATATGGTGATATCAAGCTAATTGCAATTATATCACCACACTTACCTATCATTTGTTAAGTGTGACATTTCAAATGTATTATTTCATAGTTTATAACTGAGCACATAAATTGTCCATCTACTATGCTCTTCCATGTAATGAATTTTAAAATCAATTCCTCCTAAAGCTGACCCAGAGAGAAAACTATAGTATGATCACACATCTATTTAGGATCCAATAAACTTGAGTGCACAGAGATGTAACTAGGGTGACTGTCATTTGAAGTTAGAGAGGGGGAGTATTGATCACATGGTTTCACAATCACCATAGCTTTAATTTGGTACCTGTAATTATTTTTGGTCCTTTAAAATTATACAAATAGGCTAGTCTAAGTTGTATCAAGAACAGTGCAAGCGTACTGTGAGGGAATTAATTTTTGTCGTTGCTGCTTGTTTTCCTGTGGCATTTATGCTCACACGGAAGTCCTCCATTGTGTTGTGGAATGTTGGTGTCTCATCAGGTTAATAGTAAATGAGAACCTTACAGAGATCCATGTCAGTTTGTATGCAACTGTTTGTTCTGGTTTTTTTTCTGTTGTCAATCACCTTTCACCTATGAAATCAGTAATTAAAAGTATTATAACTTTTCTTTGACAGAACAAATTGTGTATTTGCCTGACATCAGGCGACTTCCCTATTTATGATAATTATATATAATTGCATCTTCTGAAATAATGAAATCGTAAACAAAACAATCAGCAGCTTTTGTTACATCCCTGTGAGACTATGGCCCTTCTCTTTCTCTATTTCGACTCTTGAAAAAGCTAATTGATTCACTTTGACCAAATAAATCATAACTAATTTAATTTTGTATATAAAACATTGTTTATATTCTGAATTGTATGCTTTATTTCAAGTATGGACACATGAATTTATTTGATCGTTCACTCATTTGCTTACTCAACCTTTGCCTCATTCCAGATAGGATTCAGAGAAATGTCATTAATTACATACAATAATTTGTTCTGCCTTCATTTTGCTGATATATCTCTTTTGCAAAATACTTCATCACTCGATCTCGTAAGAATATAGCACATTTATAATATTGTGTTGATTCCACACTTCTATAGCAAAGTCTATATCGCCAGGCATGGGTGGCACATTCCTTTAATGTCAGCACTCTGGAGGCAGAGGCAGAGGCAGAGGCAGAGGCAGAGGCAGAGGCAGAGGCAGAGGCAGAGGCAGAGGCACAGGCAGAGGCAGAGGCAGAGGCAGAGGCACAGGCAGAGGCACAGGCAGAGGCACAGGCAGAGGCAGAGGAGGCAGGTGGCTCTCTGTAAGCTGCAGGCTAGCCTGCTCTACAGAGTGAGTTCCAGGACAGGCTCCAAAGCTACACAGAGAAACCCTGTCTCAAAAAACAAAAGCAAAGTCACAAGATATGCAAAATATTTCTAGATCTTGCATAGCTATTAAAAAATCACATCATTACGGCTTTGTTAAGGTAGATTGAGAGATGCTACTGCACTGTTTTCTTTTGATTCATATGCAGTGGTATATGCTTGCCCACGTATATACATCATGCAGACACAAACACACACACACACACACACACACAACAAACAAACATATTTTTAACATTAAAAAGTCATTATCCAATGCCTTTCCATACTAATTGCCTACATTGGCATTGTTTTTATTTTTGTCATGGATTCCAGGAATAATAAAATCTACATATCACACAACAAAATCATATATGTTATTGATAACTCACTGTTTCCAAAATCAAGGAATTCTGATTTATCCTTGATTCCATTTCAGATGTTAGTTATTTCTCTTATCAGCCTTGATTAGAACTTATTTGATATTCTTGGCTATGTACGTTATCGATTAGTTCTGACTTCATGCATGATTTCCACTGGTGGCACCAGCACTTCTGATGGTTTCCTCTTCTTCCGTCTTAGCCATCCCAAGCTCCAGCATCCTTCCTTCTGCTCCCAGAGATGTGGTACCAGTCTTGGTTTCTAGTCGCTTTGTCCGTCTGAGTTGGCGTCCACCTGCAGAAGCAAAGGGGAACATCCAAACCTTCACGGTCTTTTTCTCCCGAGAGGGTGACAACAGGTAGGTACTATATAAACTTCAGCTTCTTCCCCTCAACACCTCTAATGTCCATGGAAGGAATTGACTATGGGAGAACTTGAGGAAGGTCTAAAAGAATGTGTGAAAATGTTCCCTATTCTCCACTCAGACTTTGCTATGTCAAAACTTACAAAATCAATCAAAATCATTTACATTGCAGCCCTGAAAAAAATGCAAGGATGCAAATGACTATATAATTTTTCTCTGATTTTTTCACTGATACAGAAAAGAATTATCTGGATATAGGGAGAGCAAAATATTAAGAGCCACAGTGGCTAGTCCCTGACACCCTATGGTCCGAAGAAAACAATGACTTTTGTGACCTTTCACAAAGAAGAAATAATAATTGCCTTACAAAATTTCTGTTAGGACTAAATTAAGATCAAACATATAAAGGTCATAGCACAGAGTGTATTGTTTAATAAAAGTTGTCTGGTGAATATTGTAATTGGCTAGGTAAGAATGTACTGTGCTTTCAAAGGTGGAATTCACAGTTTGTGTTTTTTGTTTTTCCAGAGCATTTTACTCTCAGAATATTACAGTATGTTATAGCTTTGAAATGTGACTTATTAGTTTTGAGGCCACAGTGAGTAAGTAAGTTCCAGGTGAGAAGCAGAGATTTATTTGCTAGTACTGTAGTTTCTCATGTATAGGGCTTCAGTGAGATGGGGATTTTAGGTACACCCTTGAACACTTGGGACAATTTTAATTGTTATGTGATTGTCAAATGTGCTTTAGAATGACAACCTAAGAATTCCATTCACTATGCTTCTCAAATGCTTTTGTCTTTGTTTGCAAATGTAATTAAATTATATCTTTTAAGTTTTTGTTTTCTTTTAAAGTTTGCCCTGGCTTTAAAATTCAAGGGGAAACAGATTCACAGGGCATGTGTTTAAGAGGCAGACATTGGTGTTATCCTTTCCCACGCAGCTATTGTCTCCCTGCATTAAGTAATATTAAGCTACACAGGGTTGGGTGTCATATGATATTTATTTAGGGAAAAGTCACTTACATGAGAAACCAAGAACCCAAGGTCTGCTCACTGCTCTCCAAGAGCTGACCTGAACACCAAGAGCAAGCGGGTCTCCTTTCCCCCAGCTCTTTATCTCCTGTCCCTACTATGTACCAGTGACCACACCCAAACAGGCATGCTCAGTGATACAGACACCTAAGATCTCTCTCTACATCCCTGATTTTATGATGTCTTAGGGGGATTAGGGTCTTGGTGTGTGCGTTTATGAAAACTGGAGGTAATAATCTTGCCCAATTATTTTTAGGAGTTTTTGTGGGTTTCCTGGAGATAATTTAATTTCCTTATCCTCAAACAATGTTGACTATCTCCTCAAATACTTCTATTTCCCCCTTTTTTCTGCATTTATGCTCATATCATCTATTAAATTACCTAAGAAACAAACCCCAAGTTATACTTCTCTCCTCCCTGCTTCTCAATCCTGTTCATTATCTGGTCTTATCCATCTACCTCAACTCAAGTGATCCATGCCTCTTTTATTCTGTCAGTTATTTCACCCACTCTGTCTCTGGGAATAGTTCTATAGCTTCTAATAGTCCCCTCACTGTATTTACTTATCATCATGAAATATGAAATTGATCATCCACTCTGCTGAAAATTTGAACAGTCATGCATTTAAATGCAATTAAATGTAAATTGTAAAGAAAGAAGCAGAATCTTCAGAAGTCTTTTGACCAGAGAATTCCAGCCCTAATCTTTATATAAGCAAAGGGCTTTTCAAATATATAACATATTGATAAAACTATGTCCCCCAAATCAGGTGGTTAGATTTGAAAATGGTGCTACCATTTATCAGTTGTGTAATTTTTTGTGTGTTTAATTTTTATAAATGAGAAACAAATAACAAATACTTTAGAATAGATAAAATGTTTACTTTTCAAGACTACTATGAGAAATAAGTGAAGGATTTCTTATAGATCATTCACAGGTAGAATGAAGGGCTGACAGTAGCAAGCTCAGAAACAATGTGGAATAGAATAATTGTCAACAGATAAAGGGAAGGAGATAAACAGGAAAAGGAAGAAAGAGAAGGACAGCAGGAAGTAAGAATGTAGGCAGTGAGGAGCTAGGAAATTGAGTTTGCTGATATTACAATTTGAGTGAGTCATTTATTTTCATAACTGTTCACAAGTCCCTGCTTTTAACACTATTTGACCCTGCCCTCTCCTGTCAACATTTCCTTTCTTGCAAGCTGAATCCTGCTCTCTGAACCTTCTCATTAGTCACTCCTATAGTGGCACTTTAAACCTTTTCATGTAGTATCTTTACTATATCCATCTCAAACATTGTACCCTTGACTCACTCTCCAGACCCATATCTTCCAACCTTCTAGTTAATGGCTTTCTTGCATCAAACATTTGACTTCAGAGGAATCCACAAACTGTTGGCTCTGATGTGTTTTCTCTGCTCTACAAGATTCTTTCCCATCATTTCCTAGGGAATTAAAATTTCATGGGTAGCTACTGCAAAAACATGTTCATATGTGCCAGTATTTGACTTTCTATGTTATTACTTCAAATTACTTGAAACTAACATAGGCAAATATAGCATTGCATTGAAACTGGCGTTCTGTCAGCTGAGTACAGCAGGCAGAAAGATTCAGCGACTCTCACTTCAAGTCACTTTAAATTCATAGCTATGAATCTAACATTGCTTATTACTACTACAGGCAGTTATGTGATATTTATGTCAGCCTCTGTCACACATGTTCTCAATGATATTTAGAGATCTTCCTCTATTCTCATTTTTTAATGCATTTAACTGTCCCTTACTCATAATCAACAATTTCCTGTAAATTCAGAATGAAAGTCTACAAACTTTCATGCTTTCCGCAAATGGCTGCATGCATCTTTAAGGATGTAATTTGTCTTTCCTGAAATTTCCACAGAAAAAATTACCTGTACCTTTTTTAATGAAACAAAACATTCCAAACATACCAGTGTTCATTTTGTACTGGCCATCTCCTGCTGGGCATGGGACCTGACCTTAAAAGTTTTGTATACCCAGTGAGACTTAGTTGAGAAAATTAACTTTTCGTTGACAAATAGTTGTCAGTTGGAGATGGTTTCTTGAATAAGGATGGGAGCTCCTGTCTTCTCTCAGGACTGGGGCCTACCTAACTGTTACTTATACAATCCCTGTCTGTGCTATTGTAGTCTCCAAATTGATATATACATTATTCGTGCTGTGTATGGGAGGATATGTTTACTCAGAGTCTTCCATTCCCACAGGTTCTTAAAATCATTCTGTCCTTCCTCATAGCTCCCTAAGCTCTGAAGAAAGGGGTTTGATGAAGATAACCCATTTAGGACTGAGAGTACCAAGTCATTTTCAGCACATTGTTCAGTTGAGGGGTCTCTATATTAGTTCCATCTCTTCCATCTCTAAAGATCACTGAGTAAGACACTGATCTATGGGAATAGCAGAATGTCATTAGGAATAGTTTTACTGATATGCTCCTTTAGCAGAATATTATTTCATGTTCTGTCAGACCTATGGTCTATCTAGTCTCCTGAGGTACCCAATCAGTATCATTCACAAGTTCTATCATATTCAATGGTCCTTAAATCCAATCAGATAGCTGTGGAGTACTCCTACAACATCTGTGTCATTATTTACCAGTGTATCATGGAGGCAGATCACCAACATAGAAGTAAGTAGTTGTAACATGGTTGGTGTTTACTTTTCTCCTCTAGGAATATGCAAAGTACCTTCCAGTAAAATGAACACTAGTCAGTAGTGGTGAAGGCTATTGTTATACACCTGCTTAACTTCTCTGTGTTCGATGAACTATATAGGTATTGTCTTCAGCAATATTGCCTTCCCCTCAGTTTCTGAAGATCAAACAATAGCCTTGGCAATAGTTTGAGTTGTTTGGGGAATTTCCCTGGTCGTTTTTTTTTTTTTTTTTTTTTTTTGCCAACAACACAATTAAATGCAGCCCATTCATGACACTGGAGTTTCACTTGGTGATGAGAGATATTTTATTGGGGTGGCCTTTTCTCCCTCATCATTTGATGATTCCATTTTAGATAACTTTCCTCTGTGTATATATTGTTAAAAGCTTCTACTGTAGTAGATTTCCACATAACTCCCTCAAATGGCCCTTAGTTTTAGCTGTCCCTCTTGTATTCATTTCTTTACCCCCATTTTCTATCCCCTCCTCTGTTTAATAATTCTAGATTATGTTATTTCTCTTCATAATTATATATTCTAATTCCATTTCTTTGGGGGACAATTTCCTGCCACCCAACCTCTTATACTGTGATTATATGGATTGTAACATGCCTATCAAATGCTAAACTCCACATATGTCTTAGTCATTGTTCTATTGCTATGAGGAGAAACCACGTCCAAGGCAACTATTATAAGAGAATGCATTTAATTGAGGGCTTGATTACAGTTTTAGAAATTTAGTTCAACATCATCATGTCAGGAAGCATAATAGAATGCAGGCAGACTCTGCAGCAGTATCTGAGAACTACATCCTGATCTGTATACAGAGAGAGGGACTTTGGCTTGACACAGGCTTTTGAAATCTCAAAGCCCACCACAATGCCAGACTTCCTCCAACAAGGCCATACCCATTAATCCTTTTACTCTGTTGACTAACCATTTAGATATATGTGCCTATGGGGTCCATTTTTATTTAAACCACCACAACAAATAAGAGAATATACATAATATTTGTTGCTTTGGGTCTGGGTTACCTTACTCGATGATTTTTTTTTGTAGCTCAATTCACTTACATATGAATTTCATTCTTTAGGAACAGCAGAGTACTATTTCCTTGTACAAATGTACCACGTTTTTCCTTATCTATTCATCAGTTAATGAACATCTAGGCAGTTTCCAATTTCTGGATATTATGAACAGAGAAGGAGTCAAGATGGAATATGTCATAGCTGTCACTACTTGTGGTTTTTCATTGGTGTCCAGGAATCTGGGGTTG